GCAGTCATATGTTCATCTAAAATTTTGGCAGTCTCCCGGCGTCTCCCCTGTTTAGGAGAAAACTACGAGAAACTGGGCCTTCCCACCACGCGCAATAAAGGTGTGTATGGTAGGTGTCCTCGGACGAGGACACCGCGGCCGTGATATTTCTTCCCACCACATGCAATAATGGTGTGTATGGGGTCTTTGAAGGTACCTGCTTAAAAAGACGGTTTGCTTTCCCCTCGCTCGAGGGTACTTATGAGTGACATCGTCTCGTCGTAGGCGTCGCACCGGGGTCCTATCCCACCACGCGCAATAAAGGCGTGCATAGGCGATTTTTCGGTGCGCCACGAACTTTGAAATAGGGCTTTTAGGTGATTACTAGCCTCATCGTAGGTGTCGGACCGGGGTCCCATCCCACTACGCACAATAAAGGCGTGTATAGGCGGTTTTCCGATCCGCTGCAAACGACATAAATTATTATAATTAATCATAATTATAATAATTAATTATTATTAGTTATAATTAATATTAATTAATTATCGATTCTACAGGAAAGGAAAGCCGTTCGGCTAGGGCAAGGAAGCTCAGTCGGTTGAAGGAGAGAGGGGCGTCGGATTGTTGGAAGGAGTCGGAGGATGTCTCTACTCAGGTAGAGGAAGATGCTTCCTCTTTCTCTGTTTCTCTCTCTCTCTCTCTTTCTTTCTGTGGATCGGAGGATTGAAAGGTGGAGTGGGAGATCGGGACAGGGAAGGCTCAGTTGGAGGAGTTCAGGTGAAGGGAGCGTCGGAGCTTCTACGAGTGGGAAGGTAGCGAACAGAGAGTTTGGTCGTTGCGTGGGAAAGCTGAGAGCAGTGAGAGAGCAGCAGCGAATGGAGGTATCTTCGTCTCGTATTGAACGACTCAAAAAGTGTACGATTCAGCGGAACTCCTGCAGGAATCGCGGAGGATCGACGCCAACAGCGCCGAACAGTCAGGTATCAGGATTTCTGTAGAATTTTGGGATTACATGGATTTTTTTTTTGCTTTATTTTGATTTTTTTTTAGTTTGTTGTTGTGGTCAACATTAATATTATAAGTGTTTATGCTACTTAAGTAGGTTTGGATATGTATTCAAAATTAAAATTTTGAAATGACCCTGAAGAATTAATACCGAAGATAACTCTTGAAAAAAGGGTTTATTATGTGAGACTTAAATGGACATGTTGATAGAGAGGTAAGCAATTTTAAAAGCATTTATAGTGGCTATGAGTTTGGAGCAACTAATGAAAGTTATAAGATTTTATTAGATTTTGTAATTGCTATTACTTTTTTTAAGAAAAAAGACGAGCATCTCATCGCTTATAAGAATGGATATAGTAAATCTCTAATTGATTATATTCTTGTAAGAAAAATAGCCGTTTAAATTGCCAAGATTGTAAAATTATTCCGAGTGAAAGTATATGTACCTAATATCACTTATTAGTTTTGGACTTTAAGATGATGTGACAGAATTTGAAAAATATGATAAATTATTGTTCCAGAATTCGATGGTGGCATTTAAAGAACTCTAACAAAAAATATCTTTGAGAATAAGATTCACGATCTTAAGATGTTGTCGATGCATGAGAAAGCTAATGTTATGTGGGAAATTGTAGCTTGTAATATTAAGAATGTTACAAATGATGTGCTTGGAGTATCAAAAGGAAAAGTTTTTAATAGTAAAAATAGTTGGTGTGAAATCAAAATGTGCAACAAAAGATAAAAAATAAGTTCTGTTATAAAAATTAGTTTAGATGTAAAAACTCTGAAAATTAAAAAAAGATATAAAGATGCCCGTAAGAAGTTTAAGAAAATAATCTGTGATATAAAGATTCTAGCTTTTAATGATTATATAATAGATTAGATACTAAATAGGGTGAAAGATATATATATATATATAAGCTATCCAAACAAAGAGATAGGAGTAAAGATTTAGTTTAAGTGAAGTGCATTAAGGATGAAGATCAAGAAATACTTTTTAGTAGAGGATATTCAACAAAGGTGGATGAGTTATATTGCTAAGATTTTTAATGAAAATTGTAAAAATACGATTGACTTTAGTGACCATAGTATTCTAAATGAAAATAAAGATTTTTATTTTTATCGGCGTATTACTAAAACTGAAGTTAGAGATGCTTTAAAGAAAATGAAGTGTGGGAAAACGGTTGGACCTGATGATATTTCAATAGAGGTGTGAAAATGCTTAGGAGACGAAAGAATTTCTTGGCTTACTAAACTTTTTAATATTATTTTGAAGACTAAAAAGATGTCAGATGTGTGGAGAATGTGTGTTGATTTCTATTTTTAAGAATAAAGGTGATGCACAAAATTGTACGAATAATAGAGGAAATGTAATAATGTGTTATACACTTATACTTTAAAACTATGGGAGAGAGTTATGGAGCATAAGTTGCGGCATGATACTAATGTTTCTCAAAATTAATTCGGATTCATGCCTAGTAGGTCAACTATGGAAGCTATACATCTTTTGAGAGGTTTGATGGAGAAGTGTAGATAGAATAAGGAGGATCTACCTATGATAATTATTGATTTAGAGAAAGCATATGATAAAGCTCCAAGAGAAGTGTTATGAAGAGTTCTAGAAAAGAAAGGGGTTATTAATGCTTATATTTAAGTATTTAAGAATATGCATGCAGTAGTTATTACTTGTGTTCAGACACATGGTGGTTTGACCAAGTATTCTCCTATTTGAGTTGGCTTACATCAAGGATCAACCTTAAGCTCATATCTTTTTCCTTTAGTCATGAATGTTCTTATTAAAGATTTGCAAGAGGATGTTCCCTGGTGTATGCTTTTTGCTGACTATATTTTTTTTGTTGATAAGACTAAAGAGGGAGTTGAAGGTAAACTTGAATTATGGAGGTCAACCTTAGAGTCTAAAGATTTTCGTTTGAGTAGATCTAAAACCGAATACATGGAGTGTAATTGTAGTAGTAATAGATCTAGTGAGAGGTTTGTGACTTTGAGCAATCATGCCATTAATAAGAGTACACATTTTAGATATCTTGCGTCTATTGTTTAGAGTGATAGTGAAATACATGGGGATATTATTAGTAGAATTCAAGTTGGTTGGTTGAAGTGGAGGAATGCATTGGGCTTGTTGTGTGATTGAAAAGTACCACTCAAACTTAAGAGAAAATTCTATAAGATGGTGGTTAGAACTGCAATGCTTTATGACACAAAATGTTGGCCATTAAAAGAGAAGCGTAATATTAAGTTAAGTGTTATAGAGATGAGGATACTTAGGTGGATGAGTGGCTCTACTCTTAGAGACATGATATGAAACAAGCATATATGTGAAAAGGTTGGAGTAGCTCCAGTGGCAGATAAGATTGGAGAGAGTCGTCTTAGATGGTTTGGTCACATAAAACGGTAGCCTTCCGATGACCCGGATAGGAGAGTAGATGTATTAGATTTGACCTATGTTAAGAAAGGTAGAGGTAGACCTAAAAAGATTTGGTTAGAAAATATTAGAAATGATATTTCTTTATTATATCTAAGTGAGAATTTGACTCTTAACAGGACATAATGGAAAAAAAAAATATTCATGTAGTCAACCCCACATAGTGGGATAAAGGCTTGATGTTGTTGTTGTTGTTGTAGAGTTGAGGTTTTTAGTGACATTAAATTATTGGACCGTAGTTTTGAAAATATTCTTTATCTGATATAAGCAAATTCTTAATGAGGTTTGGTGAACATATGATAGTTTACTACTGTAAACTGAAGGTAAATTCAACTTCTGCATCGTCTTAACTCTTAACCGTTCCCCTATCTCTGACGTTTTGATATATTCGTGTTCTTTTGTAGTTTTTTTCAAGTCTTCTAGTAGAATCAACTTTTGTTTGAATTTATCATTATGGTTCTTGCACTGCTGAGGACACAAGTTGAGCAATTATCCAAAGGATCAAATTCTTTTTGAATTTATCATTATGGTTCATGTCAACTTTTGTTTGCTTTATTTGGATTGTTGGAAGGTGGAGCATTAGCAATGAAATCCAAAGAAATTATAAGTTGATTATGAATCTATAGTCATTGATTTTAGTTTTTCAGCTCTCTTTTTTATTTTCTTTCAATCATATTCCCAGCATCTAAACGCAGCTTTCTTAACTTTTTGTTCTTGCTAGCTTTCAGAGCGGAGACCTATTATCATAGTTTAGCGCATAAACGAATTGCAACACTTTTCCTCAGGAAACCTTGAAACTTGGAGCTTGTTTAGGATTACATTTATTTATTTTTAAAAACATGTTAGTTTAATCTGTTTTAGGTTATTTTAATGTTTTATTTTTACAATAAAATAAATCAAGTTGTTTCTAAAATCACTTAAAATAAATTTTAAATGTTTTGATTATTTTTTAAAATAATTATCACTCCTGACCGTTGTCACCACCTGCTATCATTGTCTCGTAGGCCACCATCATTGTTCTGCCAATGGCCTCTGTCACTAACACATAAATAAATGAAAATAACATAATTTTGAAATAATAAATATGTTTTTTTCATATCAAAATATAAATAAAATAAAATAAAAAAATAAAAAGTAATCTCAAATTACCCCTTGGTTATGGATGTGCTTTTTCCCAGGTACACTTATATCTGCTAAGTGCATAATGGAAGCATCATTCTATAAAACGATGACTTACCCTTCTGGTCAGAGACCTAGTATTATAGTTTAGTGCATATACAGATTGTAGCACATTTATTGAGAAAACCCTAAAATCCTATGGATGTGCTTTCTCCCAAGTTATCTCTTATATTTGTTAGGTGAATAATGGAATTATAATTCAATGAAACGGTAACCTATGGTAGAAGGCCTATGAAGTTTCAAACTTTTTATTGAAAATATATTGTTGATTAATAATTACGTTATATTGGATGTTGGCCTTATCAACTTAATGCATGTTTATTGCTTGAAGTTAGATGTTGCTTTAGCGATATAGATATCTTGGCTCATAAATTCGGTGTTATTTCTACTTCAGATATTGTGAGTGTTGCTCAATACATTCTTGTTGTGGAGAAAGAAACAGGTATGGCTACAATTCATCAAATATTAAAAAAAATGGCCATCACTGCATTATTTGATTTCTGCGTTCTGTTTTTACCACAGTTTTCCAGCGCCTAGCAAATGATAAATTTTGTGAAAGAAATCATTGCATAGTCATCACAGTGAGCATGCGTTTGTTTGTACAATCTATGCTGACTTCTAACTTTAGATTATAACTCCAATAATGGCTCAAATCAATGTTGTGCAGGGGCGAGGCTATCCAGATGTTTCTACTAGAAGGTATGACATGGCATCTCCATTTCTTCTTGGTTGGTGGAAAGTCAACTCTGTTTGATTTACGGTTTCTTTGTTGACCAAGTAACGAACATTCATTTTCTTGCAGATTCCTGCAACTAATTGTCAAACAACTGCATTTGCCAGTGTACTGTCTAGTGGATTTTGATCCTTATGGTTTTGATATCTTGGCAACGTACAGATTCGGTTCAATGGTAATATTCGTTTCTTTATTCATTTGTGCCTGCACCGAGCCATGTTGTATATCAATTGTTGTTTGAGCGGTACTTTTCAAGGTCACTTTTTTTGCGCTCGACAACCATTAAGTTTATGTGGTGTTTCATTATGTGTTGTGAGATAATAAAAGACGGAAAATAATATAAAAATATACCACCGTATCATGAGAGTTGTTGGTGTAGACCGGATTGGTCCTGAGATGCATTTTTTTTCTTTTTGTTTTCTGTTGTTATTTGCAAATGAACTAGTTCTTTACATGCTGAGTTTTGATGAATTAGTTCTTTACCGAATAACAAATGAACTTCCTTTATTGTCAAGTGACTGTTGCTATGATTTTGATGCTTCGATAGCAAATGGCGTACGATGCAAAGCTGATGCGTGTCTCAGAGATACGCTGGTTAGGAGCATTTTCTTCTGACTTTGAAAAGTACAAACTGCCAGAACGTTGCCTTCTAAGCTTGACAACTGAAGGTAAAATGCTAGTACTATGTTGGCACCACTGAAAGAGTGCCGTATCTTCCATTGTTCTTATGCTTAAAACTTATGTTTTAAGTTTTATATTTTTAGATAAGAAGAAAGCTGAAGCATTGTTGTCAAGATGCTATCTGCACCAGGAAGCTCCACAGTGGAGGTTAGCTTTACAAAATTTCACAATTCTAACTCCACTTTATGCTACTGCTGACTGTGTTATCATTTCATATATATATATATATATATATATATTGTTTTCTTTTTTGATGAAAGATGAACATTTCAATACTCTCCGGAAAGTCTGTGCATCTCCTCAAATTTTCATACATGCTGAGTTTTCTTAATATTGCATGATAAAGTGGGTTCTTATACATGGCAGGTTGGAACTAGAGATCATGTTGCATAAAGGACTGAAGTTTGAGATAGAAGCATTGTCAGCATTGTCATTATCATTCCTTTCAGATGCTTACATCCCTCTCAAGATTAAAGAAGGATGCCATATTTGACAAAGCTGATTTCTTGATTCAACTATTATCTTTCTTTTCAAAGAAATTATTCATGTATTTGTGTGATATTACTTTTTAGTAGTATATATTTTGATGGGCATAATCCAAAGGAAACAATATGATAAACTAGAAGCATTGATCCATCCTCCTAAATAAAAAAGGGTGGAAATTGCGAAATGGTTGTAAAAAGTCAGTAGTCTGGCTGGGGCATGGCAGTTCGAGCAGCGGGCCAGGCCATTTTGTGATACTGCAGCAAAGTGTAGTAGGCGTTTAATGTTCCTCTGCCCCACTCTCCATTTTTTGTTCTTTTTTTCTCCAGAGTTTTGTTTGGATTGGAGAAAATGAAACCATTCGTAAACTTATGATTTTCAAGCTTTTTTTCTTCTCATTTCCTTTTACATAGGTTTTAAGATTTTGAGTACCTTTTAATAATTTTGAAGATCTGTCTTTTGCCTTAACTCTTTATTTAAGTGGGTATAGACATTATAAATATCTATTTTTAATAATCTAATACTCAACTTTTAAACTTTTATTTTGATTATTTCAATTGCTAAAAATTGTATTATCATTTTTAATATATGTCCTTTGTCTCTGTATTTTGTTTTATTTAAAGTAATAGATGGTTTAGAATTAATCTAAATAATTTATTCATATTATTTTTGAAATTAATTAATCTGTTGCAAAAAATCAAATGTTTAAATGATTATAAAAATTTTATTTATTAAAAATTTTAACTTAAAAGAAATATTTAGTAATTTAAATTATTTTATTTGGCAAATATTTTAAATCATGTGTTGTTAATTATTTAATTATTTTTATTTTTATAATATTTAAATTTAATATTTCAAATAATAATAAAATGTATATAAGTAAAAAAGTCTAATAGAAATAATAAAATATAAATAATAAATTTATGAGTATGAAAATTGGAGCTTTATTTTCATTAATTTCATCCAAATTATAGTAAAATAAACTAGGAAAATAAGAAAAAAAATTAAGAAAAAAATTTTGAAAATATAACCTACTAAGGATTTCTCCCTAATATTCAACCTCTTCTCTTCCTCGTTTGCCTTTGTTGTTGTTATCTAAGGCGCTTTGTGTAAAACTCAGGGTGGGGAATTATTCTCTTAGCTCTTAAATATGTCAATTTTGACTGCATTATACTCAAGCTTGTATTGTTGTTTAGGGTAACATATGGTCGTGTCATGGGTACATTCTTTGTTTTAATCTTGAAATATGTTGCTCGAACTTTATCCTTAAAAACCTGCATCCTATCCACATTTTTTTTATGTCCACCACCTAATCTCCTAGAGTTTTAGGATCTTTAACTTGAGGCTGATTGGGTTGGGTAGGATGGTTGGATCCCTCTCGCTTCTCTAAGGAGATTTTAAAGGATTGTGTTTTGGATCTAGTAAGGACAGAAGCAAGGAAAACTTGCTTCTCTTAAGTTTCCTATTGTTGACCACCTTTTTTGGCACCAGCCACTTGCATGATCTTATTGCACTTCTTGTGGGTCAATTCACTTTCATGTGTGTTTCACAATTGTGTTTGATGAAAAATCACCTCGGATATTTTACCTTAATTCGTTGTCGACTTTGAGAATTTATTTTTTTTCAATAATATATCATCATTTATCATCTTTTAAAATATGTGTTATCGGGCCGACGCTGACTTAACGAGTATTTTATAAGCATTTGAACCTTCCATGTGCCTGTTCTCTCCATCGAGGACCGATCTCACAAGCTGCCTCCGATCCATCCTCGTTGATAGACTCAAGTTCACACCGCCAAGATCGATCTTACAACAGCCCGAAGTCCATCCATGCCGAGTGCTATCTAGGCCAAGCACCATTCAGCCAACGTTTCCAAGCTCGAACACCTCCAACTGCCGGACTCCTTTTTCTCCCTCACATGCTATTGGTATTGTTGATGACTTCTCCAGCTAGCTAGCCCCTATCACATATTCTTTTCTTCTTTGTTCTGAAGGGCCTTTTGAATATTGGGGAGAAATATGAGGACTTCAAACATTAAATGTGCTGCTGTAAGTTTATACCTGTAGTTTATCTTGTTTAAAGACAAATTTATGTGAAGATATTGTTTATAAAATAAAGGTCATTGTAGGTTTGGGATGCTCTATTATTAACACTACTGCATGGTGCAATCACATATATTCAAGGTCTTGTTCACTTAAGTTTCTCTCTCATACTTTCTTTACTTGTGCCTTTGATTTGAAGTTAAGATCTGAGGGAGGCAATATAATCTGCTCCTCTTCCATTTACTTGGGCGGGATATCCTATGAGCTTTTACTTGACAATGTTACCTGCTAGCTTCTTCCATCCATTACTGAAGAGAGCATTTGTGAGGATAAATTTGGAAGTCTCCAATTATTACTATATTTATTGTATTATTTGTTTCCTTATATCCAACCATGCAAGTTGATTTGATTTTATTTTATCATTTATAGGTATTTTAAATATTATTTGACTATAATTTTCTATTCAATTACCCAAATATGATTAAGTGCATACCACGAAGATTTTAACATCAAGGTCCACTATGTTCATAAGATACCAAACCTAAATTAATCACCAAAGCTTTCAAAAAATACTTCGCTAATTCATCGTCATTTGGTTTGATTGAATCAGATAATAGAATACTGAATGTAATTATTATTTATAGCTGCCTTATTATCAAGCTTATTTTGGTAGATTATGGCTTTATTTGGGACGGTTTTTTTTATTGCTTCTTAAAATAGAATTTTAATACAAAAAAATTATGATAATTTTTGTACTAGACCTCTATTTAAAAAAAAAACAATAAAAAAAATCATCCCAAACAAAACCTATATCTTTCATAATAACTACATCACATAGCATTTTCATGATAATGTGCACAAGAATAATGAAAACATACCTCTGTTAAGTCAATTCAAGAATATAGAATATTAAAGCATTGATGAGAAACCTTATTTAAGTAGCTCCTACTCTCACAAAATAATTGTTGCTTCATTAGCTTTTATATATATTTCAATTATAATGATTCCCTAGTGAAGCTCTTTCATACTAAAATAACACCATCCCCCTTTCTTTAATAAGATTCCACCACTATAAAAACTTAAAGGGGGATTTAAATACATCCGTTGTTTAATACCTCTTAATTTTGATAAGTGATGGATAGATTTTAGCATTTCTATTGAGGGATTTCGAATCTTCTTTTATTTAGTGCGGCTTTTTTGACTAATTTTAATGGTGGCATATGGTGATTACAAGTGATATTATATTGTTTCAACTAAAGAGCTTATGTATATGTTTATGCCAAATGTTGGCTAGTTAAAAACATTAACAATCTTATAATGTTTATTTCTTATTGATATAAAAAATAGAGAGATCAGGAAGCTTCTTTGTTTAGACTCCCTGTATCTTTAACAATTGTTATATGTTTGATCGAATAAATTTTGTTTGTCTATAACATCCCATATCTTAATTAATGATTCAAGTGATAAACAAGGAAAATGAATATTCAATATCATATTATATTAGAATCTTTGTCTCAAGGGCAAAAATATTCCCATATTTCCAATGTCTAAAGCCTTTAATTCATCTCCCTTATCATGATTTGTAGTAAATTGGATATAATTAAATTTGCCAATATTTTAGTGAATCATAAAGAAAATTGATTTTTTTATAATGAAAGTCCATTTATAAAACTCATCTATAATAAATTCATATGTGTATGCCTTTGTTACAGCTTGATTTCATTAAACTTATATTTGTTAAAGGAGATATTCTATATCACATCATTAATTATGATTATTATTTTATAGTTAACTATTCTGTTAATTGAAAGAAATTTTATAAATGTATGGTAACATGATATTTGAGGCATGGTTATAAGTTATTCATTTACAAAACTTCACAAATATGAAGTGTCATTTAATTTTACATGTTTTATTTATATGCATGTTTATTCTTTAATAATATCTATGAGTTCCATAAACAAATTAATTCAGAAATTAAAATACATGAAATTCTGACACATACTTTTCTCTCCTTATTATTTACGAGAAATGTGGAGATACTTGGACAACGAACTTAGACTTCCTCCTCCCTCCATTTTGCCTTTGCAAGGAAAGAGCAATTTGGCTTGCACTATTGACATGCTCTAGTGAACTACAGGAAAATTGTGTGATACCAGTAGCCCAAATTCGCCAAAAATAGTAAATTTTTTCCGAAAATATGCATTTGTGCCTGAAATGTAGTCGACGGTAAAACGTGCGTCAGGTTTAGGTAAGCCGATGGATTTTCCATCGGAAGTTCCGCAGGTAATTTCCGACCCATTTTCTATCTGATGTTATCACCAGTTTTACAAAAATCGATGTCCTTTTTGGCAGGCTTTCCACCCAAAAATTTTTGGCGGTTTATCCGTTGGAATAGCCATTGGTTACGCCATCACTTTTACTGGCAGATTTAATTCCTTCGAAAATTCCGTCGGTATTCCAAGGTTTTCCTATAGTGTGAACATAGATCACCTAGGTCTTCAAATCCTTTCATGTGGTTAGGAGCCCACCTAAGTCTTATGTTATTATAGAAACCCAATATTTAATATTTCAAACCCGATAACCGGCTAGCGAATAGGATTTTACTTGTTAATTTTTCAAAACTAAGAATGCTTAATTTTGATTGATTACTCAATCCAATGATTAGATTGTCTGAACTAAATTCCTAACTGTACAATTATATTTATCTTGAGTGATTAGTTATGAAACTAACATACACATATTCATAATTGACCTAGGGCTTTCATTAACTCATAATAAATCCAAACTAATTCGTAATCAGGTTGCTCAAAATTAAATTCTAAACAAATAAAAATTAAAGCACCATCAAATTAAACATACAACCAATGAAATTCTAAAATTCATTGTTTAAATCACTGAATTAATTTGTTAATTAAAAAAAAAAGAATCTTAACTTATAAAACATATAACTAAGAAGAGTCTAAATCATACAAACTCAAAGGCATTAAACTTTAAATTAAATCTAATATTTATTTAAAATTTAAAATAAATTAAAAAGTTAAACTTCAAGTTAACTCAATCATTAAAAAATTTAAGAAAACTTAATAAAAAATCAACAATTCAATAATTAATAAACTCAAAAAATCCAAACTAATGAATAATAATAATAAACAATAATAAAATATAATTAACCATGATAATTATTGGATAATCTGGCTTACCAAGCTATTAAGCTAGCCCCAACAAAAATAAAATAAACATCATAGCCATGGTGTAAGTAAAGGAAGTTTCTATTCAACTTAAATAACCATTCAAAACCACTAATAGAACTCTTACATAATAAAGCTTTCATACCCTTATGGTTGACTCTTT